AAAAATGGGATCACTTTGATGATTAACGTTGATAAGCTACGACTGCAGGGGAGACTCCTGGCTCTGGCATGTGACTACACTACTGCTGCTGATATCTTTCACAAAATTCCAGAGTCATGTCCAGACGATTGGGAGTGTTTCCTTCATTACCTAGGCTGTTTACTGGAAAACTTGTTTCATCTGATGCTGATGGCTTGCGCTTATCCGTGGGATTCTTCGATGACATTTACATTCCTACTCATCACATGCCCAATCCAAACCGCTAGGAACCTGAAAATAGCAACAAAAACAAAGGCACATGGTTTTGGGATTATGGTGAAGAAATTGATTCATCATTTAATTTTAATTATACTGACAAGATCAAATTCCAAGTTCAAAGTGTGAGTTACCCTCCAATTCCAGTTGAGCAACCAAAAGAATCAAAGCCATTTGCTCCAATGTTAGTTAGTGACAAATGGCATTTCAGGAGAAAACAAGACAGACTTTGGAGGATATGCACTGATGAAAATGGTCCATGTAGCATTTCTATAACTTTATTCATCGGTGGTCTATCTGATGGATTTGTTTGAATGCACCATAGAATCACTTACTGCAACAGAAAACAACAACCTCTCTAAATTCTAACCAATTAACAGAATAACTTCCTAACAGAATTTCTGTTAACCACCCTGCTAACCTCCTAACTAATTTCTAACCTTATCCTAACCAACTCATGGCTTATAGATACAAACTTCCAGCATATGTAAATAGAGAGCTCACAGCATATAACCAGAGATTGACAGAATAGGGAAATAGAGGTTAAACACAAAAAAAGAATGATACCATCTCGACAACTTCACCCTCAACACCTCCATCTATCATCATCTCCACTCCTCTGTAACTGAATCATCAATATAGATTCATCATCTTCATTGCAAATCATCGATGTGCATCACTCGCATCTTCTACACACAGTTATGCTCATCTTCATGTTCTTCGACCCGTTTCATCGATCTTCTTGCATCGAGTCACCGATCCGCAACCGCTTCAAGAACCAACTTCATCATCATCATCCAAGCTTCATGAATTCTATACATCAACAACAACATTAAATCTGTAACAACGATACGATCTCCACAACATCAATTCGCGCACGAGACTGAAAGCATAGAGACGGGGAAGCATAAGTGAACCTAAAGAAAGGAGAAGCGTGAGAGAATGATAATCGAACTGCAATTGCAACTCCACTTTCGTTGGATTTCGTCTTCGTCAAAGTCACCTCCTCGTCGTGTACTTTTGCTTTTGCCGCTAAGTTTAAGATGCCCAGTGTCGAAATGAAGGAATCCGATCTTGAATTCATAAATTACGGTGAGGAATCAGCCGAGACTCATACCTGAAGCACCTTGTTTAATGGGCGGTGATGATAACAGTAATAGTCGCGTCACCGTGTCTTTTGCAAGGAGGAGCATCGTTGGTTGAAGTCAAAGAGGATTGAGACGGAGGCGCGTCGTGGATATAGCGGCGCAGAAGCCTTGAGAGAGAGCGCTTCTGACCAAGGAAGATGAAGAGAATGAGACGGCAACACAAGGAAGGCGGAGGCGCCGCCGCTGCTGTTCGTGGAGAAGAAGGACGAAACATTTTCTCTAACCCTATTCCCTTTCCATTTTTACATATCTTTTCTTTTTTAATTATTGCACAATTTTATTTTGTCTTATTATTTTTATTTCAATTTAATAATAATAATAATAACTAAGTAAATAATAAATAAAATATTGAAATGCTTATTGGACTCACTCTTGTTGGGCTGGTGCCATTTGAATTTTTGCTTGCAGCATACCCTGAATTCAGCTTCATACCCCCTAACTCTTCTAATTTTTTTTCTTTTCTTTTATTATTTTAGTTTTTTCTTTTAGTTTAATTTTTTTAATCAATAATAAAACAATAAAAATAATAGAATATTTTTAGAATAGAATTTCTTTTTAGAATTTCGATTAGAATTTTTCTATTTTATTTTTCATATTCGATAATCATTTTATTGACTTTTTTAGTCAAGATTTTTGTGATAGCATTGATATAACTCTTGCAATGTGGAATGCTCGGGGTTAATTCTTCAATCACTCGCCCAAGGGAACTTTGATAGAGTTCTCTTACCGCTTGCACAATTTTGAAGAGGCAACGGACCTTCTCTGTTCGGTATCGTCGCAAATCTATTTTATTTTCGTACTTTATCGCAATCCATATGCATGCTAACATTAGGTAGAACTCCATTCATTCTAACTTTAGGTCTAACGCATAATAACATTAGGTTTAGAAGTAAGCTAGTCTCCTTCTAACTTTTCTTTCCCTTTTACATACGCACCTAAAACTAAAACTTCTTTTCTTTCAAAAAATTCAAAAATACTTAAAAAAACTATTGATGAGAATCATGCTTTTGCTTAGTACGGGAAATGATAAGCGGGTCTCTTCTCGATCTTATTGTTCTTCATCTCAAGCATAGGTGTGGTTCAATTCTCAAAAACTCCTTTCATGGCTAAGTAGAAAAATGGCTAATATCTCTCCCTTGAGGTCAATCAGTCATCATCTACAACAAAATACAAAACAAATTCAAACCATTTTGTACGCTCGAGCACTTATCTCTAAAAAACCTTTTCAGGTAAGGACACGATTAATTTACTTCTGTGCCAACGCATAAGTCTCCAAAGGTCGAGCTGCGGCAGAAGGCGGGATTAACTTCGTCCATAAAAAACACAAACAAACAAAAAAATGTGAGCCGAACTACGGTAGCTCTGATTCCTTAAAAAGGATACGTAGGCATTGGGGTAGGGCCCAGGCGAGCACAATTTTATTTTCCCTACATTCTTTTTCTCCTTTCTTTTGCATGCATTCCTTTAAGTAGTATAGTAAACAGTAAGCATAGACGAAACACACCCATAAGATAGATAACAAGAGTGGATACCGTAGAGTACTACGGGCGTGTGGGGTGCTAATACCTTCCCCTCGCGTAACAGACTCCCTTACCCAATCTCTCGGTCGCAAGACCGTGACTTCTCCCTCATCAGGTTTTCTCGATGTTTACCTTTCCCTACATGTGGGATAAAAGACGTTCGATGGTGACTTCATTGTTTTGATGATTTTCAGCCGGTTGTTTCAGTTGGCGACTTCACTGGGGAATAGGTCGACCAAGTGTTGTTCCATCCCGGAGTCGCTCCTAGCTCTTGTTTTCTTTCCTTAGGGTGTTTATTTTTATGCTTTCAGTTTACTCATTTGTACATGTTCGCATTGCATTTTATGGCTTTCCATATTTGTTATCTATTATGCTGGACCATGTTCTCTATGTTGGGTAGGGATGTCACTTCTGAGGTAAAAGGCCCAGTACCCAGGCCAGAGTGCACTAGAACACCTAGGAATAGAGTGGGGGCATGACGGCTATAGGACATGGTCCGATTAGTGCAGTCATGTCATATACCACGCTCGGATGAGGTTCAAATGAATTACTATCGGCACCCACGTCTGTGGGCAAGCCCATAGCACTTTCAGGCGAACCCGTGATTTTCGAGTTACCATTATCTTACCCTGACCTAGTTTTCACCAGTGAGTGGGAAGGGAATTTTTGTCACAGGTACAGATGGTGACTGTGTTCAGATGGTTATTCAGGTACAAATGGTGACTATGCTCAGACAGTGGCTATTGGTTCTAATGGCTATATCCGGATTTCTGTTATGACTTTATGCAGATGCTGTATCCTGTTGGTGATCGTGCGGTTCTCAGATTTATTTTCTGAGATCCTGACTTGTTTACCTGGAGGTTCATTCAAGCCTTCAATCTTGGTATTCCCAGCATGTTTAGAAATTCTCAACAGTATCCGATGTTCCATAAGCCTTGATCTCGGACAATGGGAGATCCACAGGGTACTTGGTGCTTATATATGCAGAAGTTATGTCAGACCTCTGATCTGATGATACTCACATGATCCAGAGCAGTGCAGCAACCTTATTCAGGAATGATGGAACCATGATCCTCTGTGATCTCATGCCTTTGCATACATAACATGGCTAACTGCATGCTTAACATACATGTTCTGTTATTTTCAAGGAATCATATTTGCAAGTCTTGTGCCGAAATTCTTCCATCCCTCACCTGCGCAAAAACAAAATCAAAGCACGCAAATTCCTTGGAAATGACAAGACATGACATGGCATTCATTCATACACTCCATGTATATTCATGCATTCATTACAGGTATCCGAAGATTGGGGATTCTTATTCGGACATGGGGTTCTCTTCAAAGGCTCAACTTGGTTTCTCACCACACGTGCTCAAAGACCAGCTATGGAATGACTCTGAGTGGTACATGCAAGCTTTGGCTCATAATCAGAAATTTCCTCAAGCAGGAAGATGATGAATTAAATACTCAGATAAGCCAGGTCATGGAAACTCTGATGATGATTTATTTAAGACATGATGTGCTTGGTGATGCATATTATACTGGGGAACTAGGCCAATCGATTGAAGATGGTATGTCATCCAAAGACAATGTCCAAGACAGGCTCAATCCAGAGACTACTGTGTTCACATCAGATCTGAAAGGGAATTCTCTCGCACACTCGAGCATCAAGACTACAGAAAGTCGTCAAGATCAGCAAGTCCATACGGAGTCAAGCCTCCTTAACAGTGGCAATCATTGGTTTCTTTAATGAATTTTCATTTGCATTCTTGCTTGTTTGTTTAAACATTGCTTGTATATAGAAACTTGTCTATTTTTGAATGAAAATCTTAATGCAATAGGTATGCTTGTCTTGAAGTGTTCCTTTCATTTTTACTCATCCATTCTTTATCACTCTTTAAATGTTTTGCTTGCATATTGATGCCAGATTTCCTAGTCTTATGCTTAGGTAAGGAATTCAAAGGAGGATGATGATAATCTGAAAACGCAAAATCTCTGGTTGGTACGCTTTTGAGTAAGACCCTGCTGACGATGTACAGGCCTTGTTTCAATCCCCAAACACCAGAGATATAAGGGAGATAGACCCTCGTCAACCCCTCTGAGCCTTTGAAGTAGGAGTTTCCTTTCTGTTCAGAAAAAACCCTCATTTCAACCCTGGGGCGGGTAGTGTTCAGCCGATCTAATCAAGCATTCAGAACTCATCAAGAGTGTGCATCCGAGGATACAACAATGGTTATCCATCAAAAGGTTGAGGGAAGTCAAAACCAAAATGGTTAATCCTCATCTAACAACAATGTGCGTCTATTGACTATATCCCAATGGGTATCTCTCGCACATCAGGAGGTCAACAAGGACGATACTAAAGACTCAGGCAGTCACGATCACTTCCGACAAATCAAAACAACGCGAAGATCAACGACTTGTTCAAAATGAAAAAATACGAAAAAGAAAGAAACAAAAATCCCCGCCAAGTCGAAACTCGAAAATAAGTCGCTTAGGCAAAAATTGGGGCATCCCGCTGGACTTCCAAATCAAAATTCAAAAGAATTTGTCCAGGCAAAAATTAGGGAAAGCAAGAAAGAAATTGAAAAGCCTAAAAGGCGAGAAAAGGATTACCAATGAAAATCCTCATCAAAGAACAAAGTCGTCTGATCAAACACCAAAGGCAAAGAAGTTAGTGACTGTCGTGTCCAAGAAACCACTGTGGTTCCTCAATTATTGCAAACTCTTCCCGAGAGATGAACGCTTATATCAGGCCAACTGAACGTAGGAATGGAGAACATCATGGAGAATGGGTGGGCACCAAATAATTTTGAGCCTTAAATCCTTTTTTCTAAAACCGTGAACCAGACCACGTTACAACCCATAAAAGTCCTAACTGAAGCATGGGTCAATTCGAAAGCGTGCTACAACGAGATGGCGTTTAACTGACTCCTAAGAGATACGTCTCAATATCTGTTTTGGCATCATATGCTTGCATTATCTTTCATAAAAAAATATTTGCAAATGTTTCTCTCTAGCTAGTGACTCGTTCACAACAAGTTGTGACGTCATTTCATTCAAAGTTTTTTCAATCTTCAAGACTTACATATGTGTTGCATTAGAATTATCATTCTCATAATAAACATTCTTCTGCATACAAAACAACTGATCGACATCAAGTAAGTTTGCACAATGAACAATCGGTAAAGAGCTCAATCTTGTCAGAGAAGAGAGGCTTGAATACCTTGTTGAAGCAAGAGTCAGCTGCCACAAGAGAAATGACTTATCCAGCAGAATGTTAACCGGTGATTCTGTCAAGAGAAATCATCTTGGTACTTCACAGTTTGAGTACAATTCAGGGATGCAGTTAGCAGAGCCAGCTAATCTGGGGCAATCAAGTCGAGAGTCGATCTCTCCAAGTTCATCCAAATCTGGGGCATTCCCTCAAAGCTGTCAATCAGAGGCTATCGCGTCGATAAATCTCTTCGAGCTCGATCAATCAGAGGCTATCACATCAAGAGATCTATTCAGAATTCATTCAAC